CCATGGTCACGAAGTCCGTCGCAAAATATGCAGTTGAGCCAAGATGTGTTTCTTTCGAAAGCCAAGAGTTTCTCACTCCCTAATTGGAATGTGAAGCTGAATGATAAATAAAAGTTTAAAAGTTATTGTCTTATTTTCTCTTGATGTTTGTTTGTCTCTTTCAAATCTATAACCCATAAAACCTATTGCGTGTCTCCTTCCAACGTTTGATTTCACATCTGGCGAGAAAGAAATGAAACTAGAGAAGGTCAAGTAGCTACCCCTTTAGCTTGACTCACCTCATCCATTGACAAGTTCATTCAGGACAATAGGACATCAATCTAATGCATTATACAAGGGGGACCACGGCGTCGATGATATGCTAGTGTAATGCCTCCACACAAGAAAATAAATTCTACTTCACCTTTTTTTCAATTAATTTGTCTACTCAAAAAAGTTTCCACTTAATCATATATTGTTTTTGTAGTGGATCTTTTTGTTTTGGCAAAAATAATCGATTCGTGAGAGTCTACGGAAACCCTAGTTGTCGTGTTTTAGAGTTGAGTCGTGTGTCTCGCCGTTTTTCGCAGTCTCTTGTGTTTTTTCTCGATTTCGTGTGTTTTTTTCGTCGAATGGGGCTCCCCTTTTATAGAGAAGTATTCAGGATCCTAATCCTTGTGGGATTTGGATTTGAGCAACCGCCTCTTTACGTGATAAAGTTATCTCTGATATTCCCTCATTAAAATCACATCAAATATTCTCTTGATAGGATCTGTGATTCTTGAGAGGATAAAGTTATTCACAGGATTCGGTTATGGCCCGTATTGTCCCGATTTCTGTGGACTACAGCCCATATTGTCATGATTCTCACTGATCGCGGCACGTGTCGATATATCCTAGAGTCTTTTAGAATATTAACAATTATTTTCTCTATTTACATAATTCTAACATATTTATGATATAATTTATATAGTGTAATTTTGATGGTTAAAATTACACCCAACACTTTTCTTGATTACATAAAATTTTCACCACAAAAAAAATATTGTAAGTTTTCAAGAAGATTTTTTGTTCTTTGTTAAATTTTCTTTTGAGGATTTTCACTAGCGGACACCACTCGATTATCACCTTTGACCTTTCTTGTGTATGAAACGGATCTTTCTAGCTGGAAGACGAATATTTATCTTCCCTGAAACAACAACTAAGAAGACTGAAGTTGGAGAGTTTGCAAAGTAAACGTGATAGCCAAAAAAAGAAGAGTGGCAATGGTATATAATGACAAAAACTAGCTCATATCGTCCATACAATTTTTTTCTGTCTCTTTCAAACCTTAACTTCGTTTGTTTTATTTTTATATTTTTCTTTTTTGTTTTTAAATTTATATCACTTTCAACCCACTTTTCCCTCTCTCTCTCTCTCTTTCTCTCTCTAGCTATGTGTGTATATTATGCAATAGAACAAAAAAAGAGGAAGTTAAAGAACGACATAAAGTTCCTTAATCTTTGGATGAAAATGATGAACCCTAGAAAAAATAATAATACCTTTATGTACTACTTTGTCCTGTTCGTTTGGGGTTTTGTGTTGATGCAGGTTGGTTTAGGACAAAGCCAAACAAGTGAAATCAAAGTAGGAGTAGTGCTTGATCTCCAAACTTCATTTTCCAAGATCTGCCTCACTTCCATTAACATATCGTTGTCCGATTTCTACAAATATCATGCTGATTACACCACAAGACTTGCCATTCACATCAGAGATTCCATGGAAGATGTTGTCCAGGCCTCATCTGCAGGTTCGTTTCTTCTCTGTCTCTTGAAACTTTATTTGGATTTGTTATTGGTTTTGTGAATAAAACATACGTTCTACAAGATCTAGTTTTCAACAAATATAATGTTTATTAAGGTAACCAATTCCTAATTATTTAATCATCGTTAATGGAATATTGAAACACAACTCAAACAAATTTGTGGTAATTTTTTTTGTTTTCACAAATTTGATACGGGTTTGTGAAAGCATATATGGTTTGGTAGAAATTGCTTTGCTCGTATTAGTTTGAAGCAATTCTGTCACTTAAAATTTTTTTGGTTCTTTCGACATTTATGAATGACGATAAGGATATTGTTAGCGGTGGTTTTGTCCGACAACGGTGGTGGTTATGATATATGTAAACCGGTGCTACTTGGTATATCGACAGTGGCGGACGTTACACGTACATATACATGCTTGGTCTGTTATCATTTTTGGGTCAATGGGTTTTGAAACGAGATGAGATTTATATGAACATGCTTCGTCGGAATATAGATGGTTGACTATTCTAAAACCTCTTATGTGGTCTGTATTTACTACTCTTATTCGTCCCAGTAAGACACATTATATTTTACTTTTAGCTCATGCGTAAACATTATTTGTCTGATAATCAGACTCTGATTCATTCGTTAGTTATAGAAAAGTGTTATATGTAGTGATAAATTTAACCTCTTTTATTTTCTTCTTCTTTGTGTTTCCTTGTGGTGCAAGCAGCTTTGGACCTAATTAAGAATGAGCAAGTGAGCGCCATCATCGGGCCAAGAACCTCTATGCAAGCCGAGTTCATGATCAGACTCGCCAATAAATCTCAAGTACCGACCATCACATTCTCTACAACCAGCCCTCTTATGACATCCATCAACAGCCCTTACTTCGTCCGAACTACTCTCGATGACTCATCCCAGGTCAAAGCCATTGCGGCCATTGTCAAATCCTTCGGGTGGAGAAACGTAGTTGCCATTTATGTGGACAACGAATTCGGAGAAGGAATAATTCCCTACTTAACTGACGCTTTACAAGACGTGCAAGCTCTTATAGTCAATAGATGTTCGATCCCTCAGGAAGCTAATGACGATCAGATTCTCAAGGAGCTTTATAAACTAATGACAATGCAGACGAGGGTATTCGTTGTCCACATGCCACCAACTCTCGGATTTCGGCTTTTTCAGAAAGCTAGAGAGATTGGTATGATGAAGGAAGGATATGCATGGTTATTGACAGATGGAGTAATGAATTTGGTGAAATCTAATGAACGCGGTAGTAGCTTGGAGAATATGCAAGGGGTTTTGGGTGTAAGGAGCCATATCCCCAAATCGAAGGAGCTCGAAGATTTCAGATTGAGATGGAAGAAAAGGTTTGATAAGAAGGGGAATGATGAAGAGCTGAACATTTTTGCATTAAGGGCATATGATTCGATCACTGCTTTGGCCATGGCCGTAGAGAAAACCAGTATAAAGAGCTTGCGGTATGAGCATCCGATGGCTTCTAGAAATAATAAGACAGATCTAGCGACCTCCGGGGTCTCTCGTTTCGGTCCAAGTCTTCTAAAGGCTCTTTCGAATGTAAGATTCAAAGGTTTAGCCGGAGATTTTGAACTCGTTAACGGGCAGCTTAAATCATCAGTGTTTGAGGTCATCAATATTATTGGAAATGAAGAGAGAATTATCGGATTCTGGAGACCAAGTAGTGGACTTGTGAATGCAAAGTCAAAAAACATCACGTCGTTTTCAAGGGAGAGTTTTGGGCCGGTGATATGGCCCGGTAAGTCGAGAGTTATTCCGAAAGGTTGGGAGATTCCAACAAACGGGAAGATGCTTAGAGTGGGTATTCCAGTGAAGAAAGGCTTCTTAAATTTTGTGGATGCAAAGACAGATCCGATCAGTAACGCAATGACCCCAACGGGTTACTGCATTGAAGTCTTTGAAGCTGTTCTTAAAAAGTTGCCTTACTCAGTCATTCCTAAATATATTGCTTTCTTGTCTCCAGATGAGAACTATGACGAAATGGTATACCAAGTTTACAACGGGGTTAGTTCTCTTTCTCTTCCCCTATTTCTACTATGGTTCTTTTACTTTCAACTTAACATTAATTAACAATTAGTAGAGTAATTTATGTCGACTATATAGTGGATTATAACATATCGTTTATAAACGGATCAGACGTACGATGCAGTTGTAGGAGATGTAACCATCAGAGCGAACAGGTCATTGTATGTCGATTTCACGCTACCGTACTCAGAGTCTGGAGTGTCTATGATGGTGCCTCTCAAGGACAACAAGAACAAGAATACATGGGTGTTCCTCAAACCTTGGAGCTTAGACCTATGGGTCACCACCGCTTGCTTTTTCGTATTCATTGGGTTTGTTGTGTGGATTTTAGAACACAGAGTCAACACCGACTTTCGTGGACCGCCTCATCATCAGATAGGCACCAGTTTCTGGTTCGCTTTCTCCACTATGAACTTTGCCCACCGTAAGTAACACCAATCAAGAACAAAGTTGGAATAGCCTAGTGGTATTTGCTCGAGTCGTAAATTATCAGTCGTTGTGGGATAACACTAGGAAACGAGTCCCATCATCAAGAAACATCATTAAACTTCGCCCTTGGTTACTATAGATACTTTTAACTGGCAACAATATCCAGCTTTATATCAATATTATCTTGTTTCTCATTTTCGACATGCCTCGGGAAATAGTATTGGTTTCTCCTTAGAATTTGGTCCCAAAATAAAAAGTTTGGTAGATGATGAAAGTAGTCTAAATACAATTCTTATAATAGTATATTGATATACAATAACTTGTTCGTGTTTATAGGTGAGAAGGTGGTGAGCAACTTAGCGAGGTTTGTGGTGTTGGTGTGGTGCTTCGTGGTGCTTGTGCTTATTCAGAGCTATACAGCGAATCTCACCTCTTTCCTCACAGTACAACGGTTCCAACCAGCGGTCACAAATTGGAAAGATCTCATAAAAAATAACAAATATATTGGGTACCAACAAGGCACTTTCGTGCGTGAACTTTTGATAAGTCAAGGATTTCATGAGTCACACCTCAAACCTTTTGGTTCTGCCGAAGAATGCGATGAGCTTTTTTCCAATGGGACAATCACAGCATCTTTCGACGAAGTGGCCTACATTAAAGTTATCCTTTCTGAGAACTGCTCCAAATATGCCATGGTTGAACCTTCCTTCAAGACTGCCGGTTTCGGCTTTGTAAGTTCTTTTACCTTACACTTTTACAAACAAAAAAAAAGATGTACATATTTAAAGTATTTAGGTGTTTTCATTGCTTTAATCTTCTGCTTCCATGATCAATGTGTAGGCATTCCCCAAGAATTCACCTTTGACAGATGATGTCTCAAGGGCCATCTTGAATGTGACTCAAGGCGAAGAAATGCAACATATTGAGAATAAATGGTTCAAGAAACAAAGTAATTGTCCTGATTTAAACACTACTCTTTCGTCCAACCATCTCAGCCTTAGCAGCTTCTGGGGTCTGTTTCTAATAGCAGGCATTGCTTCATTATTGGCACTTCTCATCTTCTTGGCCAACTTCTTGTACGAACACAAGCACACGCTCTTTGATGACTCTGAAAATTCCTTCCGTGGAAAGCTAAAGTTTTTGGTTAGAATCTTTGATGAGAAAGACATAAAGTCGCATATGTTCAAGGTGAATGCCGTTCATAATGTGAGTTCACCTATTACTCACGGAAGTTCAAGCCCTTTGACCGATCATAGCACTCCATTGCCACGAAGTCCGGCACAAAATAGGGATCAGTTTGAGCCAAGAAGACTGTCTTCCATCTCGAGCGGAGAACTTTTCACGGAACAAGTTGAAGATGAGGAATCTGCTATTATTTAATGTGAAGGTGAATGATAGAGAGAAGTTGCAAAAGTGCATAACAAGTTAGCCAGTGTGTTTCCTGCTTTGTTTTAGGGTGTAGTAAAGTATTTTCTTTTGTCAACATCTTGTATTCCTATGTTTATTGTTTTCAAACTCAGTGTCAAAGTTAGATTTCTGAATTTGGATTATAATATTCTTCCAACTATACTAGTATAATCGCAGCACTTTTTGTGACGGGTAGATAAAAAAGCTTTCGGGTATATCGGATATCCGACCCATTTTAAAAATTCCTTCACAAAAAATTTGTTGGGTCGGGTTATATTTAACCCAACTCATACACCGGATATTCCATATTTAATAATTTAGATTTTTAGAAGATTTGATTAAGATTTATAATTATGATTCTCCTATCATCTTTGTTTGATTTGTTTTTAACTGTTTTGAATCATCATATAATACATAAAGTAAAAAAAAATATCAATTTTTTTTTCTGCATATACTGTGATTCGAAATTTAAAAAACGGACATATATTATCCAATTGACGAAAATGTGTGTTCAACGTTCTACATCGATTAAAATATTTAGACAATGATTCAGAATCATATCATAAATAAGAACATTAATAAAATAAATGAGTTTTTTTGCGGGATGGGTTTGGCGGGACGGGTTTTTGAATCAACAATAATAAAAAGATTAAAATATCATTAATCCGCCGCTTCAATACGGATTTAATCCTTATTTTTTTAATACAAATCACAGGACGGGTTAAGAAATTACGGAACGGGTAATATTTCGGAAATGATTTATATGACGGACGAATTTGAATCAATATTTATATACCGCTTTAATACGGGTTAAATATAGCAGAGATTTGTGTAACCGCACAAGACTTGCGCTTCACGTCAGAGATTCCATGAAAGACACTGTTCAGGCTTCAGCTGCAGGTTTGTTACTTTTCTGTTTTTTGCTTCTCCGCTACTTGTAAGGGATCATTTGGATTTATTAATTATTAGTTGCAGTCTGATGAAATATATTACGTAGGAACGTCTTTGGTAAGAGCAATCGCTTCATTCTCTTATCTTCTAGAAAGTCTTTGTGACGATTGTATGGGCGCCAGAAATCACTACTATTCCTAGTAGTCTCTTTAAAATATTTAATTCATGACTTGTAGTATATTTGATAAATATAGTCAAAGACTAGTAATATGTCATGTGATACCTTTACAATAAAGATTTTAACTCTTGTGTAGATTATTATTGTCTCATTAATTATCATCAACTCTTAAACTACTGCTGTTAAATTTAGTGAAATTCTAAACTTTTTTTTCTTTGTGTTTGCTTGTGGTGCAAGCAGCCTTGGACCTAATCAAGAACGAGCAAGTGAGCGCCATCATCGGACCAAGAAACTCTATGCAAGCAGAGTTTATGATCAGACTCGCCAACAAAACTCAAGTACCAACCATCACATTCTCTGCAACAAGTCCTCTTTTAACATCCATTAAAAGCGATTACTTCGTCCGAGCCACTATCGATGACTCATACCAGGTCAAAGCCATTGCAGCCATTTTTGAATCCTTCGGATGGAGAAGTGTCGTCGCAATTTATGTGGACAACGAGTTAGGTGAAGGAATCATGCCTTACTTGTTTGACGCTTTACAAGACGTGCAAGTCGATAGAAGTGTGATCTCCCCGGAGGCTAACGATGACCAGATTCTAAAAGAACTTTATAAGCTCATGACGAGGCAGACTAGGGTTTTCGTTGTCCACATGGCCTCACGTCTTGCTTCACGGATTTTTGAGAAAGCTAAAGAGATCGGGATGATGGAGGAAGGGTATGTATGGTTAATGACCAATGGAATGACGCATATGATGAGACATATCAACCATGGTCGTAGCTTAAATAATATAGAGGGCGTGTTAGGTGTGAGGAGCCATGTCCCCCAATCGAAAGAGCTCAAAGATTTCGGCTTGCGATGGAATAAAAAGTTCGAAAAGGAGAATCCAACGATGAGAGATGATCTAACCATTTTTGGATTACGGGCGTATGATTCAACCACTGCATTGGCCATGGCCGTGGAGAAAACCAACATAAGAAGCTTTCCGTATGATAATGCGAGTGCGTCGTCAAATAACATGACAGATTTGGGGAACCTAGGTGTCTCTCGCTACGGTCAAAGTCTTTTAAATGCTCTCTCGGAAATAAGATTCAATGGTTTGGCAGGAGAGTTTAAACTCATAGACAAGCAGCTCGAGTCACCAAAGTTTGAGATCATAAATTTTGTAGGAAATGAAGAGAGGATTATCGGATTTTGGACACCGAGCAATGGACTTGTGAATGCAAATTCAAACAAAACAACTTCATTTACAGGGGAGAGGTTTGGTCCATTGATATGGCCAGGGAAGTCGACTA